TCTCGCTTTTCCCCTCTTTCTCGCTTTTCCCCTCTTTCTCGCTTTTCCCCTCTTTCTCGCTTTCCCCCTCTTTCTCGCTTTCCCCCTCTTTCTTCCTTCCCTTTGCTTTCTCCCGGCATCCCCCCCCCCATCGACCCTCACACTCCAACATGCTTCTGGCAGGCCCTTTTCCGATTCCAAAGACCTGAAAGCCAAGTTTGATGCCATTTTTGCCGCCACGCGCTACTCCAAAGCCCTCGTGGAGATGAAGAAGATTCGCCGCGAACAGTCCACCCAATCCCGCATCTCCGAGGAGCGTATGATCCGGGCCAAATCCTTCCGCGATCTGGCCGCCGAGGTGTGTCACTTTGGCGGCTTTCTCTCCCCTATCTCTTTCCTCTTCTCTTGACTCACCATCTGCTCCCGCCCCCCCCTCTCCCCCTCCCCCTCCCTCGATGCCTCTCTTTTGTCGGTGTCGCCCCATCAGACCCGAAACATCATCAGCCAGTTGGACAGCGAGCGTGGACAGATCTCGGCCAGCGTGGACACCCTCAACAGCGACATCCTCCATAGGGAGAAGGAGCTTGCCGAGGCGGAGTCCGCTGCCCGGGAGCTTGGTGCCCTGTGCCAGACCCTTGCTCGTCGGCGCGACCAGGCTCAACAACGCGAGGCCGACGTGCGCATCCTCGAGACCGAAGCCCGTGGCGACCAGACCCAACGTGTGTGCCATTCGATCACCGCCTTTGCCCCCCCCCCCCCCCCTTCGAGTGCCTGCTCCCTTCTACCTCCCCATGCCCCGGTTTCCTGACCCCTCCCCTGCCCAGTCACCGATGAGGAGCTGGCTCGCGAGATCCGCACCCTGGAGAGCTCGGATTTGGCGGCTCAAACGCCGGACATGATCCAGCGCAGCATCACCGCCCTCGAGCAAACCCTTTCCGCCGCGCAAGCCGCAACAGCCCGCATCCAGCACTTTGGCCACCAGCTTGCGTCCCTCAACACGGTGCGCCAATGAACTTCGTCCTTCGTGGCCGCCCTCCGGCTTTCCGTCTCCTGCTCTTCATCTCACTCGCCGTGCTGTCACCAGGACCATGCCGCATTCCTTGAACAGGCGGCCGCCCAGCGCGCTGCTTTGGCAGATTTGCTCCCGTCCGATGTCCGACCGGAGGTCGAGGCACTGCCGCTTGCCGGATTGGATTCACTGCCGCAACTCCTGGCCGCCTTGGATCCCCTCCTGACTCGCCAGGAGAGCAGCCTGCGGACTTTCATCGATACCATGCACCGGGATGCGACGGCTCTCGCCCAAACGGTCGCGGTTCAGGAAAATATCCAGCAGGCTGCCCAGCGGGCAGCCAGTGCGGCCACTCGCCAGGTGGCTGCCCTGCGGCAGGAGCTTGCCGATGAGGAGTCTCGCTCTGCTTCGCTTGATGCCTCGCCCCTGGTCCAGCTCGTGCGTCTGTCCCGCCCCGCCCTCCCGCCCTCCCGCCCCCCTCTCCATCTCCCTGCCACATGCGCTCATGTGAAGAGGAAATCCGTGCACATATATACCAAGATGTGGACACACTCGCACGCACATATGCAGACGCGCGCTTGTGCTCTGCCTGATTCACTGACACTGCAGCCGCCGGAATTCAGGAACGCCAACGTGAGGACATTGACGCGCAGCTCAAGGCCCTGGACTTCGAGCACCGGCAGTCAGCCCTGGCCCTCGAGCGTGCAGCTCTGCAGCGGCGCCTGACGGAGGCCGAGAAGGATCTCCAGCTCGGATCCCGGCGCGCGGCTCTCGTGGAGCAGGAACGTCGTCTGGCCTCCCAAATTGCCGAAAAGTGTGTTTCCCACTTTCCCTCTCCTTCCTCCCTCCCCC